CCGTGACCTCTCTCTCCGTTTCAGTTTGGGGTCACATCGTTACGTTAACTCCTCCGGTCAGGTCGGCTCGAGGAGATTATCTCCAATTTAAAACGACAAACTGAAGAAAACATTTAACTCAAAACACAGAAGAGAAGGTTGTTTTGTGGCAACTCGGGGTGCTATCTCCCTTCCCGTTTGTGCTCTTTTGTCTGTCCGTTATCAAAATATCTCATCAACTACTGGCTGGTTTTAACGAAGCTTTAAAGAACTAATCTTTAGATGTACCGCTACAACAGATTACCAATTCAAGATGGTCGCCACAGACCTTAGAAAACACATACCATAGGAGTCATTCAGCTGATGTTCCAGATGTTTACCATATTTTTTGGACTATAAGGCGCACTTAAAATCCTTACATTTTCTCAAAAATCGCCATTGAGCTTCATGATCAGGTGCACCTTATGTATTAATTCTAGTTGTACTTCAAATCTGGCGTGGTGGCAGCTGAGAGTCGTCGCAGCACGTACACCGAGGGCAAATATATCGCGTGAGGTAGCAGAGTTTTTAACCAAAGTGGCTACAACTCTTCATTTCTCCAATGTTGGTTTGAAATTCTGGCATGAACGGCGGCGGGCGACATGCATTCATCCACACTAGGCCTTTAGTGGAATACAAACAACCACTGATGGAAATGTGTCGAACTTTTGGTCGTACGTGACTGAACTTTAACGTCTGACTCCTTTAACTCCGATGTCTTTGTCTTATTTGGACACGAGCCGTCCTCTGCTCAGATTTCTGCCTCGTCCTCCGTTTTCCTCTTTCGTTCGTTAAAAGTCTCAAGCGGTTTGGTTTCCAGCCCTCCCGCTCCCACCGGATGCGTTTGATCTTTATTGGTTTTCTTTCGTTCCTCCGGTGCTCCTCAGAAGCGGCTCGATTCAAGAGGCCTCGTTAATTTTGATTCACACGGAAGAGAAGAGGCTCCTTAACCTTTCCTCTGCGCAGCACGGTCGACGCCAGCGTTTTTATCTGCGATCCGTTCTTCTGATTATAAACGGTGAACAACGGTGCGTTTGCGCGTGCGCTCTTCTGTGTTAACAAAATATCTTACTGGTTCAACAAAACTGTCAGGATCTGTGTCTTTTTGATGCTTTTTATTTTTGGATTTGTTTCCTTAATATGTTTTCATAGTGTTTACCCTCCAGTCAGCTTCTTTCAACTTTTTTTTCCACGTAGTTTAGCAACGGTTTTTCTATTTTTAGCTACTGTACTGCTAAATTTAGCTACAATTTTTAAAAAGAATTTCATACCCATTTAGGTCATTTTAGCATGTGCTCGGCTAATCTGACCCTAAATTCTGAAATTCACGAGCTGGCGTTCCTAATTTTATCCAACGTTAAGCTTGTTTTAACTTTACTGTTTCAATTTTAGCTTCTCCAGCAAATTTTAGCTACATCTTTGATTACATTAGCAAATGTTTTGCTATTTTTAGCTACTTATTTTTTTTTACATTTATCCACCATTTTGCTGATTTTAGCTTTAATCTCAGCTTTGCTCCTACTAGTTACATCTTTGCTAACTGCAGCTGCCTTTTTACTATGTTTAGCTGCTTTTTATTTAAAAATTAGCTAATTTTAGCTACTGTTTTTATTATTTTTAACATCTATGTCTTTGCAAATCTGCTCCTTTCAACATGTTTAGCTGATTATAGAATCTGATCTGCTAGTTTGATCCTCTATTCTGAAATTTAAGTCTGGATTTCCTAATTTTACTCTACATTCTGCTTGTTCCTACTTTAACATCTCAGTTTTAGCTTCTCCAGCAAATTTTAGCTACATCTTTGATAGTAGGAACTGTTTTACTATTTTAGCTACTGTCTTGCTAAATTTACCTACTATTTAGCTGATTTTAGCTTTAGAATAGAGTTGTTGAATTAGAGTTGGATGTAACTGGGACCCTGTGTACACAATTTCCTTCTTCCACATGTACCACATGGGGTGCAAATGACAAATAAAGAACCTTGAATCCTTGAACCTGTTGTACTGCTTAGCTAAATCTTTGTTCATTTTAGCAACCGTTTTGCTAATTTTACCTACTATTTTGTTGATTTGTAACTTTATCGTTTTTGCTAGGTTTGCCAATATTTACCACAGTTTATCTAGTTTTAGCTACTGTTGTGCCAACATTACCCATTATTTAAAGATTCAAGAGTCTGTTCTTTAGCTACATCTTTTATAATATTAACAACTGTGTTGCCATGTTTGGCTACATTTACCTACTATTTAGCTGATTTTAGCTTTAGAATCTGTTGTACTACTTTTAGCTAAATATTTGTTAATTTTAGCAACCGTTTTGCTAATTTGACTTACTATTTTGTTGTTTTTTAACTTTATTAATTGTTTTTGCTACGTTTGCCAATATTAGCAACAGTTAAGCTAGTTTTAGCGACTGTTGTTCCAGTCGTACCCATTGTTTAAAGATTCAAGAGTCTGTTCTTTAGCTACATCTTTCATAATATTAACAACTGTGTTGCCATGTTTAGCTTCTGTTTTGCTATTTGAACGTACTGTTTTGCTGCTTTTTCACTTTAGCATTTGTTTTGCTACTTTTAGCTACCCTTTTGCTAATTTTAGCAACAGTTTAGCTAATTTTAAAAAATAGTTTTGCAAATTTTCGCTACAGTTCTGCTAATCTCGTCTTCTCTTCTGAGATTTAAGAGTCTGTTTTTACTCATTTTCTTTAACGTCGCAGTTTTAGCTTCGGTATTAAAATGTAATTTATTTGTCAAGAATTAAAACCTGATTCTAGTGTAAATAAATAAACAGTTTGTGACCTGGTTGGTGCTGATGTTTACTATATTTATTTGTGCCACCTTGTCTCTTAACATTTTGTTTCCGTGAAGCTGCTCGTCACGAGGAAAGCCTGAACATTTAGCCTCTAACAGTTTTTTCTCCTCGTGTCTCTCAGTTGACTCATGATTCACACAGAAATCACAAACCCAGTTTAATTTAACATCTCCTCATTATTCTGTCCTTGTTTTTTTTTTTCACCACTTGATTATTTAAATGAGAAATCTTCTTTTACAGTCCTACTTTGTGCAGATTTGTCTTTGCTTATTTCACAGATTTTCACGTCTCTGTGTAGAATCTGAAGCTGCTAAGTGGCTCATAATTACAGCCGCTTGAATAAATTTGTGTAATTACATCAAATTAGAGGCTTCCTTGTTTTTCTGCAGATATTTCTGTCATCTTTAGCTGCAGATTGGTCGGTCCTTTGGTGAGGATCGCAGCGTCTTTCCTCTCTGTTTGTTATTCCGATGTTTGCTTCTGTTCAGCGGAAGCAGAACCGAGGCCTTCGGGGAGCCAAGAGTCGGGCTCAGTCAAGTTCTGACGGGTCTTATCGGTTCTCCGATGGGTGATTTATTCAGACAAGTGAAGGCTAAATGTTCGTATAAAACACAGACAAGCTGCTTCCCTCGTAAAACAAAAATAACTTTAGAATTTGTTTCTACATTAGAAAAAGGCAAAACATTAAATTGTTTCACAATAACTTATTTTAAAACAAGTTATTATAAAAAAAAATTAAACGTGATTTGAACATTTGAGCATCCCATGTGTTCGGCTAAAACTACAGTAAGATGCAAAAGCAATAGCTAAAAGAAGCCGAATACTTGCTAATAGCTAAAAATAGCGAAGGTTTCACTAAAAGCCATAAGTATCAAAAGGCTACCAAAAACTATGAAATGGCTAGCTAGAAGCTAAAAGTACCAAAAGGCTTACTAAAAGCCAAAAGTAGCCAAAACCTAGCTAAAAATATCAAATTAATTGCTAGAAGCTATTAGGCTAAAGTCCAAAAGAAGTATAATACTAGCAATATTAGCTAAAAGTAACAAAAGCAAAACTAAATTATAGTGAAAGTATCAAAAGTTTTGCTAAAATGTTAAAGTAGCAAAAGTAGCTAAAGGTCTAAAGTATCAAAAGGCTAACCAAAACTTTCAAATGGCTAGTTTGAAGCTAAAAGTAGCAAAAAGCTAGTTAAACATTTAAGAAGCTGAACAGTAGCTTAAAGCTAGTAAAATGCCAAATTAAATGTGCAATTCTTGCAAGGCTTATAAATTAGCATTAGCGTGGACTGCTAAGAAAGTTTTTAAATTAGAGCTTTAAGACGACAGCAGTCCAGTTTGGTCTTGGCCCAGTTCAGACTAGCCTTTAGCTCATCATTACAGTCCCGTTCAAAATAAGCTCCGTTAAGATTTTTTTTATTGTTTAACTTTTTTAAAACTCCACTCCTAAAGATCTAAACTACCCCTTTAAGGGCCGTTTTAACATTTGGGTTAGCATGTTAGTCAAATCTAATTTTATCAATATTTATTGTTTTTGTTGCAGTTTTATTAACTCTAAGTGAACTGAAAAAAACATCAACGTAAATAAAAAAAAGAGAACCGCTTGTTTCACGTTTTTATTCTCCGTTACTCTTAATATAACGTCAGTAATGCTGTGCAGCTGATTGATTGATCTGCGCTGCAGTAATGATCAGTTCCAATAGTTTTTGTGTAAAACTTTTCTCCGAGTGGACCGACGGAAAGCTTCGTTGTTGCTCGTGCGCCTGAAAAAGCGATTTCAAGGTTAGAGCTCCCAGCGACGCATAATAAGGATCATTCTGCGTGACGGGAAAAGTTCCTGGAAGGTGAAAATTACAATCACAAGAAGGTTCGGTTCTGCATGAGGCGTGAACGGATTATTACGTGTTGAGGGTTGCAGAAGGTGACGTTCGTTACCGTGGAGACCAGAGTTCAGCAGAACTGTGAGGTTGAAACATCTGGAAGCAGACCAGTGAGATTCAGTCGATTCTCCTCTTTTCCAAACAGCTGACCACAAACGTAATCAAGTCCTAACCAGAAAGCCTGAATGTGAGATTTTTCAAGTGTTTTCATTGTTGATGTAAAAAGTTTGTGACAGAAACTTTGAACAGGAGGAGGTAAGTGCTGAATCAGCATTCAAACTTTGTTTCTTTCCTTGCAGCGTCTCTCTGGGAATGATGGCGTTGCCACTGGTGCTGCTTTCTTTGTCGCCATGACGATGCCATTTAGCCTCCTGTCCAGCGACGAGGAGCACCAGAGGATGCTGGGAAACACGAGACATCTCTATCCTGGGGCAGAGGACGAAGACGAGGACGAGGAAGAGGAGGAGGAGGAAATGGAAGATGAGCAGGACGAGGACGGGGAGGAGAACGGCGAGCTGGAGGGAGACGAGGAGGATGATGAGGAGGAGATGGAAGTCAGGCGAGAAGGTCCGTCTCGTTTGGGCAGAGGTGAAGGACACAGGCAGTCGGGTAAATTCACCGGACGACCCGCCGCTGACCGACAGACCGGCAGGGCGGGGAACCCCAGACACACCACAAACCCGTACTCGTCCAACCCCGGACCCACGCACCAACAAGCAGCCAATCAGGTGCAGCCGCAGAGGAGGCCGAAGGAGCGCACCGCCAACTCCCTGCCATCTGAGGACGCCCACATCGCCATGATGGTGTTTCGCATCGGCATCCCAGACATTAAGCAAACGGTCAGTGCAGTCACCACACACACACACACACACACACACACACTCACACGCACACACACACACACACACACCTAAAGTATTTCGTCTTTATTACAATCTACAGACAGTGTGTTCTTAGACACACAGTCCAACATTTTCAGCAGGTTTTCATTAGTTTTTGGAAGTAAAGCCCCAAATAAATGGACCCAAGCTGCTTCAGAGCTCCTGAAATATGTGTAAATAGACAGAATGTGTCAAAGAATCAAACTATGTTTGAGTTTATTAATATTTAGGATCTTCAACAGCTTCTTGAACCACCCTGAACGGCCGTTATGAAAAACAAAGCATTTCAAAAGTCCTCTCCACCAGAGCCTTGGAGCTCCCTCAGGCCATGCAGGGCTCCAAGCTCCACTGGTCACCACAGAAGATCCTCCGTGCTGCCGACTCGGGGCTCGGGCTCCAGACCCCGGCCTCGAGTGATCGTGAAGGCCGATCCCGGCAGACAGGCGGACCGGGACGGGTCTGGGTTGGACGGTGGAAATGATTTTTAAAAACATTTTATGTGTAAAAAATAATGTATTTTTTTAAATCAGTGAAGATAAAAAATATAAAAAATGGTGCCGGCTTTATTGTGAAATCTTCTATTCACTTTAATGACTATTAAATAATCTGTTAAAGTTAACTCAGCTGAAAAATCATAAAAAGACACAAAATTATTGGATCTCTCTGGAATATTTCCCTCAAACATGTTTAAAGAAGAGTTCAACTTTAGTGTAACCCTCAGATGTACAAATCACAACACGATAATTGAACTTTAAAGCAAAGCTAAAATAAAAATAAAAAAATATGTAGACAAGAAACAAAACCACACATCTGAACTGAACAATAAAAGTAGACACAACGAGTGCAAGTACATCAAACGATGAAGAAAAAGTATAACATTTTAAATATAATGTTTTTGTAGAATCTGGTTCAACAGAGATTTAATGGTGAACTAAAGTTCATTAAAAGTTCATTAGCAGAATTTTTATATATATACATATAATATATATATATATATAGTTTGAGGATTTTAATAATCTGTATACTTTTTAATTTACCAGAAGCTTCAAAATAAATTCTCACCTTGTACTGAAACCTGTTTCAGCGTCTCACCGCCACCAGCTGGTGAGAGGCGCGTGACGTCAATGTGAACCTCGCCCACTGGAACCGCTACTGAAAGCATAATCACAACGTGTACTGTACCGAGCCGAGTCGAACCGTGCTGTACTAAAGGTACTAATGGAAAAGAGGCTTAAAGCCACAACCTACTGGGAGTTTAATGGACACACAGCTGGTCCCATGACAATGTACAAAAATAAACTCCTACATAAAATATATTGATGAGTAAAAGTTATCCAATGAAACCAGCAGATTGTGTTGATTCTCCACTTCAGTGCAATTTTCCATCTTGAGCAGCGTGCTGGCGACAGTGGAAAGGAAAAACTCCCTTTTAACAGGAAGAAGCCTCCAGCAGAACCGGGCTGAGGGAAGCAATCTGCCTTGACGGACTGAGGTTCGAGAGGACAGAAAAGAGACGGACAAACACAAAATGATTGGACCAAGTCCAGGTGTAGTTTATCTGGTCCAGGTGTAGTTTATATGGTTCAGGTGTAGTTT